CTGTATACCTTAAATATATACAATAAATATATACAATAAAAAATAAATAATAAACGAATAAATAAAGTTAATTGGACACTAAAATAAACAAAAAATTCTCAATTGATAGAAATTACAAAATATATTGTATGAGGTTAAAATACTAAATATGTAATGTCTGTAGAAGACCAGGTTAACTGTGGTTTATGGTATTGACCTGAAGTCTAGAAACCTTCCATCCCCTGATTTTATTATTTAATTTGATTAAAGTATTTTAATTTTACCCCTCTTCTTTTTCTAGGTTCCTATTATTAAATTAACAGATTCTTTTACTGAAGTGAAAGTTGATATCAGCTTTAATGTACAGAACGGTGTGAGAGCAGCTGACCTAATCAAAGATTTTACTAAGGTTAGAGAATTTATAGTGTTTATACAATGAAATTATTAGAAATGCAATTTTGTTTTGAGAATTCTATTGTGGTATTCTGATATACTTTGCTACATAATTTTTATGTGCATATTGCTGACAAATTCTTTTTTTCTGTGCAATGGTTTTGCTTTCTTTGAATCTGATTATAATGATCAGTAATTAATTTATAATGTGACCTCAAGCAAGAATTAAAGGTTGAGAAAGCTTTTGAAGAAATTCTGTGTTTTAGATCCTTCCTCTTGGGGAGACATAAAGGCTGAAATCATGGTGCACAATTGATTCCTATCAGTTTTTAATCTCTTAAGAGTTCAGATTAAGAACACTTCCTTTAAGAACCTTAAGAGCCTTTTCTAGATTTTAATCCCCAAGTCACCTATAAGGTGGTTCCTGTAGGTTTCCTTACTTCTGTCTAGAAGTGATTTAAGTTTATTTCTATTTGTTCTGTTTTCTTCCAAAATAAGGAAGAACTTATCAACATTATCTTCAGGACATTTTACATACTTAGTTTCCAATTTTTTTTTCTCCCTAAGCTAAAACCATTTACTGATTTACTGCTTTGGTTTACATTAGAATATATTTTCTATACATTCAACATTTTTTTCCTTAGTAGCTCTACAGTTTTTATTTTTTGTTAAAGAAAAAATGGTAACTACTTTATCATGTTGTGAACATTATCTTCTCATATACATGTTCAAAGGACAGAAAAGTAGAAGAATAGCAGAAATATTATCCATGATCTCACTCTTTTGGAAGTGATGTATGTGAATTTTCTTCTGCTTTAGAAAAAAACTTTTTTTTTTTTAACTGTTAAAAAGGGTTTGGTGTGAACATCCTTCCATACGTGCATCTTTCTTTACACTTGCATATGTTTGTAGTAAGATTCCTGGAACAAAATTTCTGGGTTAAGGATATATCCAGATAAAATTCTGATGAATATTTGCCTAATTGTTCTTTAAAAAGGGACTGTTTCTAGTCTGACTTCAACCATGATGTTTAAAAATACTTATTTCTCTTGCTTTGAGCTAGGCTGATGCCATGGCACTCTAGCCTGGGCAACAGAATGAGACTTTGTCTCAGGAAAAAAATAAACAAAAGAAACTTATTTCTCTATATTTTTGTTCTTTCCCATGCTTGCTTACTTTGATATGATTTGCAAAAGTATAAACTTTTTCTCTTCTATTCGTGTTCACTGTTGTAGGAAGTCTAGAAAACAGAGATAAGAGTAAATTAGAATATAGAAATCGCTAGTAATTCTACCAACCCTAGGTAATGGCTGTTAAGACCTCCTTCAAGATGTTTGTATCTGCTTTGTTTCCCTCAGTGTCCCCAGCTTACAGCTGGGCTTGCAGAGAGTACGAATGAATATGTGCACGAGTGAAAGATGAATTCACACTGTACATATTTGCCAACTCAAGTGTTCTCACAGATAGCCCTGCCTCATGCTCTGTAAAGCATGGGAGGTAGGGAGGTCTGTGTTGTCGCTAGCTCATGTGGAAGACAGCAGGCAGGGCTCTGCCTACTCCAGGGCTGTGGCAGAGCACCCGCTAAGAAAAGGGATTCTTTAAAATCATTCTGATTTAGTGCTTCAAGATGTTGAGAGACTTTGACCTTGCACTGTTTATATTATCTTCTTACAAATGCATATGATGTGGTCATGGTCACGAATGAACATCATCAGATACACACTGCGAAGTGTTTCTGTCCTGTAGTGAGTACTTGGGTGCCATTATTTAGGTATACATGTTTTAGATTTTAGATGTGGGGAGAAAACCCTTCATGACTTATAGTTTACTTTTTATGTAGCTTACTCTTAAAATAAAAAATTAAGTATATTGCATATCTCCCACGTTTTGTAATGTAAGGACCAATTTATGCTTAGACGTGTTATTGATATAGGAATCATTAAAAATATAACTTATTTCTTTTTCAGAAATATCCTGTATTGCCATACTTGGTTTTAGTATTGAAACAATTCCTATTACAGAGGGACCTTAACGAAGTATTTACAGGTGGAATTGGTTCTTATAGTCTCTTTTTAATGGCGGTCAGCTTCCTTCAGGTAAGTCATATAGGTATTCCGTACTGGCACACACTAAAATAAAAGTAATCAGGCAGGGAAACATTTTGGAAAAAATTTAAGTCAACCACTAATTGGAATGCTTCTCTTGATTATTTGTGGCTTTTCCCTTTGAACTGGGTACCTTTTTATTATTTAGCAAATAAGTATTTAAAAATTCTTAGGAAAGAATATTTTTTTGTTTTTGATCCAATATGTTCTAATATCTTTGAGAGTTTTCACTGCAAATTTTAACATGAAAGTTATGGCCTGCTTTCCATAAATGTAAACAGTATAGTAGTGTAAATGCCAAACATAAGAATGTCTTCTAAGCGGCTAATCTTGTGAGTTTAGTTGGAATTGAGACCTGTTACTTGGGTAAGATGAGTTAGAGTCTTAGTATTATAAGTGGTTGTGTTTATGTAGCATGGGGTTGCCAACTTCCCTGATGTGTTGAGCCAAGCCAGCCCCTGGGGTAGCCATAAAATTCAGCCTTATAGACTGTCTCCCACGAGTTCTGCACCATGGAGCTTTAGTGTTGTCTGTAACAGCAGTATAGCCTGCTATTACCCCATTGTCTATTGACTGATATGCTAGACCAGAATTATCATAATGTTGCTTATAGAGGTTAGGATGTCATTTATACATCTGCTTGATAATTTAGCAAAAATCCAATATAATTTCTTCCTTTTTTCTGTTTTTAGTTACATCCTAGGGAAGATGCTTGCATCCCCAATACAAACTATGGTGTTCTCTTAATAGAATTTTTTGAATTATATGGACGACATTTCAATTATTTAAAGACTGGCATCCGGATAAAGGATGGTGGTTCGTATGTGGCCAAAGACGAAGTACAGAAAAATATGCTAGATGGTTACAGGCCATCAATGCTTTATATCGAAGATCCTTTACAACCAGGTATTGAAATTAGGTAAATTTGTGGGCATTCAGAGAGGGCGTTGTCAGTCACCTTGTACTTGAAGCTCTCTTTAGGTGAAAAATGAAGGAATAACTTCTAATGGTAGCCATTTTTTCCTCATCAATATATTTCATAAGCAGACATACCAAAATAGTCACACAAACCAAAAAAAAAACACCTTACAGACTTCTAGATGAGTTGAAGTAGAATCCAGTTGACTCTCAGAAGCATAGTAGATTGGATTTGTGTGCATCTCCAGTTTGGTGATATAGGGGATGGGTCCTAATTGCCCAGCATTCCAACCAGTTGTCAGCAGGACTTTAATGAGATAATTCTAAAGTTCTTAGAGGCAGGAAGCATTAACATATATCTGAATTCAGTAGCAAGAGTTCAGAAGGACTATTTATTTCCTTTTGGGACCTCTTCTTTTCTCCTTAATTTTGCATGGTCTCCCCATGCTTTTTCCAGCTTCTGTTGGCTTGCAAGTCAATGCATTCATGAAGTTAAATTTCCTTGTTTGTATCCTCATTTTTCTGGACAATATTTTTCCTGATAAAATGATAAAATATTTGGATTCTGCATTATCAGACTTTAGTGGAAGTGCTTCTAGGTATTTGCTTTAATGTGTAAACTTTGAAAATAAGGAAAGGCAGTGGAGAAATACAGTAGTTGCCTGGGAAACTCTTTCTAGCTTTTTGAGCTGCCTTATAAACGTTAATTGTCCTGTGTGTGTATTTGTTGAAGAAACATTCACTGGGATCCTCACTGTGCAAAAGACACGAAGATTTTTCAGTACGGTGATCCTTGCTTTTTAGGAGCCCATCGTTTATTGTGGGAAATCTGTCTGTCTATCTATCCATCTATCTATCTCTCTCTAATAGAAACAACAAAAAAATACAAAGGTATTTCTAATTTAGCTTGGTTTCACTTTTAGGAGAAAGCAGGCAGCTATTTCTTTTGTTTACATGACTATTTATATATGGGATAGGATAGTTCTTTTTCGGCCAGAATACATTTAAGCAATTTGTACATTGTGATAAAGTACCAGCTGTATGATATGCTGGTTCAGAGACTGGGCAGCTGTGGTGGGGACAGCTGGCAGCTCAGCTTCGGGGTGCAGCTCCAGTGGGTGCTGCTGTCCTTGCTCTCCTGGATGAGGGCTCATTGATATTTAGTTCATATTAAGCAATGGTCAAGCTTACTATGTTATGTATACATTTCTTTTAAAGGTAATGATGTTGGAAGGAGTTCATATGGGGCCATGCAAGTGAAACAGGCCTTTGATTACGCCTACGTTGTTTTGAGTCATGCTGTATCGCCAATAGCAAAGTACTATCCCAACAACGAAACAGAGAGGTAAAAGTTCAACTAAAATCAGCCCATTGTGTCAAAATTGGTTGTGGCTTCTTATCTTCAAATTAATGTTATCCCCCTCCCCCCTTTTTTAAACACATGCAGCATATTGGGTAGAATAATTAGAGTAACGGATGAAGTCGCCACATACAGAGATTGGATATCAAAGCAATGGGGCTTGAAGAATAGGCCTGAGCCTTCATGCAATGGTAAGATGTTTTTATTGATTAATTGACCAAGTATTAGAGGCTTTTCTGTGTTGTGTGTGTTTAATGGGAAGAAACGTTTTCCAATCTTTTGCCACTCTTTCAGGAAATGGTGTTACCTTGATAGTAGATACTCAGCAGTTAGATAAATGTAATAATAATCTATCTGAAGAAAATGAAGCCCTTGGAAAATGTAGAAGTAAAACTTCGGAATCTCTTAGTAAACATTCTTCAAACTCTTCATCAGGTCCAGTGTCGTCCTCTTCTGCCACGCAGTCCAGCTCTAGCGACGTAGTAAGTACGAAAGACTCGGCTCGTCTACGCTCAGACACATGCACATTCTTCTGTCACTGGGGTTAACTCTGTCTAGAAAGCGAAGGCTGTTTCCTTTTCTTATTTATCGTTGGGAACTTTAATAACTTTCATGCATATTTTTCAGCATTTTATTATTAAAATTTTCAAGCACACGGCAAAAGTGAACGAGTTTCAGTGAGCATCCATGTACCCGCCACTAGAATCTGCCATTAACATTTTACTTGCCTGTCACGTACCTAACCATCTACCAATTAATTCATCTTATTTTTGGATCCATTTCAAAGTAGATTGCAGACACTTCCCCCAAAGTACTGTAGCTTACACATTATTAAGCTGACTTTAATATTTGTTTATAGTTTTTCCCTTTTGATATAAAATTGACATATAGGGAAGTCTTGATTGTGCACTGACTAAATGTTATCAAATGTATACACATGTGTAATGCAAAATCCTGACAAGACAGAGAATATTACCATCCCTCCAGAGGGCTCTCATGACTTTCTAGACAATTACCAATTTCACCCTCAGAGAGGGAACCACTGTTACAATTTTTTAATACCATAGATTAGTTTTGCCTTTTTAAAGATTTCATATAATGGAATCATATAGTCTTTTGTGTAAAGCTTTTTTCATTCAGAATGTTTTTGAGCTTCCTGATTGAATTTTAACAAATTTATATAACGTGCAGTTTACCGCTTAAAAATACACAATTCAGGATTTTTTAGTACATTCACAGTGTTGTACAGCCATTTCCATTAATTCCACACCATTTCCATCACCTCCAAAAGAAACGCCATACCTAGTAGTTGTTTTTTTTGGGGTGGGGGGCTGGGGGGACAGAGTCTCACTCTGTTTTCTGAGCTAGAGGGCCCGGCTGTCAGCCTAGCTCACAGCAACCTCAAACTCCCAGACTGAAGCGATCCTCTTGCCTCAGCCTCCTGAGTAGCTGGGACTACAGGCATGCACCACCATGCCCGGCTAATTTTTTCTATTTTTAGTTCCCCAGCTAATTTCTTTTTTTTTTAATGGGGTCTCACTCTTGCTGAGGCTGGTCTGAAACTCCTGACCTCAAGTGATCCTCCTGCCTTGGTCTCCCAGAGTGCTAGGATTACAGGCGTGAGCCACCGTGCCCAGCCCATACTTAGTAGTTGTTTCTCCTGATTCTTCCCCCCTTTATCCCCTGGTAACCTCTAATCTACTTTCTGTCTGTATCCTGATAGAATTTTTTTCCTTCCCACAATTCTGATAAAATTTTAACCATCAATTACAACTTAACTTAGTTTTTTAAAACCAAGGTTAATTTTGAGTTTACTTAATTGAGATATAAAATAGCCTTACCTATTATTTGAATTTTGACTTTATTAAGCATATGACATAAAAAGTAAATACATAAGGGACATAATTTTATGTTGTTGGTAATGATCACATATCATTAAGAAGTCATAAATTCTCCTGTGCCAAATCTACCTGTGTGCCTTTTTGGTTCCTAGAGCTGTGTGGCTCTGGGGGACAGAATGCCAAGCTGGATGTCACAGGCACACAGGGTAGAGCATTAGGGACTGAGATGGTGTGACTCAGAGATGCTGAATAAAGTGCCAGGGCCAAGGGTGGAAACCTGGGAAGAGAAGTAGGAGGCCCAGAAACAGGTGGAGCTCAGCTCACTGCCACCTGGAAGTCTGTACCCACCACACAGTGTGTTTGGCTGGAGAGATCACAGACTCTCCGAAACTGAGCCTCTTAAACCCATCATCTTGTGTTTGATTGAAGCCAGGGACTGGAACCTAGATTCCTTGCTGTTTACCATGTTCCTGCCATGTACCATGATTCGTTTTCTATAAATAAAAAAGCAAATACACCCAGAACTCTGTGAGCATCACGACTGGATGTGGGCAGTGGATTTAACAGTGAGCAGAAGCCCTCTGATAACATACTCACTTTAAATGTTTGGCGGAAAGCTAAGCGATTAATTTTGTAAATTCCTCGGTGTGCTTCCTTTAACTCCTAAATGTTTAAATTGAGTCTAGAGAGTACTTAGCTCAAATTGTTCTCCTTTCTCAATATCGAATATCTGAATTACTGACATGTCACCTTATAACTCATGTGACTTGCGTTAGGATTCCGATGCGACACCATGTAAAACCCCGAAACAGCTGCTCTGCCGTCCGTCCACTGGGAACCGAGTAGGGTCACAAGATGTGTCCTTGGAGTCCTCTCAGGCAGTTGGGAAAATGCAAAGCACCCAAACCACTAACACATCCAACAGCACCAACAAATCTCAGGTGTGTGGAATTTGTGTTTTAGTTGTTAGTATTCAATACAAAATATTTAGAATTTCTTACATGTGAATGATATACATCATGGGTTTGAAGAGAACTCTAGGTTGAAGAAAAAGCTTACTTTGTTTTAAGGGGTTGCAAAGCATGACAGTGATTCACTTTACCTGTCCAGCCTAGCCATGTGAACCAAACACAGACTCGTTGAGATATTCCCGTTCAAGTGGCAGGGTTGACAGAAGGGACTGGGGTCATGATAAAGCCACAGGTGATAAATAGCAGGAAAGGTACAGCCAGCCATGCCAACCCTGACCTGCCAGTGCACCCAAGTGTGTCCAAGAGCCTCTGCCAGTAATGCCACTTACTATGCAGTATGTGGGTTGGCAGGTTCTGTAGGAAAAGTGTCAGCTCTGCAGACTGTTGAGAAGGCAAACTAGTGGTCTGCTTTTTAATATTTCCATTAAAATAATGGAAGAGTTTTAGAGCTGAAAGGACTTCAAGCCCATAACATCTTTTCCTGCCTGCTAGATAAATCAGTGATCTGTACCTCTCTAGCCAGCGTATTCCTAGTTTTGAAAGCTCCCCTGAATTCAGGTTTTTAAGAGCACTCTGCTAATCCGCAACACTCATGTCTTTTCTTAAAAAAAATTAAAAATTTTAATTATTATGGGTATATAATAGTTATATATGTTTATAGGGTGCATGTGATATTTTACTACAGGCATACAATGTGTATTAATCAAACCAGGATAATTGGGGTATCCATCACCTCAAGCATTTATCATTTTATGTTAGGAACATTCCAGTTCTACTCTTTTTTAGTTATTTTAAAGTATACCCTAAGACTGATGTCTCTTTGACCGCTTTCTTTTTCTGCAGCATGGATCAACAAGGCTCTTTCGTTCTTCCAGCAAAGGCTTCCAAGGTACAACTCAAACAAGCCATGGTTCCTTGATGACAAACAAACAGCATCAAGGCAAATCCAATAATCAGTATTACCATGGCAAAAAGAGGAAACACAAGAGGGACGCGCCCCTCTCAGACCTTTGTAGATAGTCGGCGCTGTGCGGTGGACTGTCTTCCATGTGCAATGATTTCTTGCTCAGGACAGTTGCGTAGGGACTCCTGGGAGACATTCAGGAGCCTCACACTGTTCAGACGTTGATTTAGCAACTGCGTTTTTTCCCAGCTCGCCACAGAATGGATCATGAAGACTGACAACTGCAAAAACAAAACGCAAGCAAAAAAGGGGGAAAAAAAGGCTGCTTATTTGATAAGTCATATGCTACGACAGGGTCATTTTAAGATTTAAAGCTTGAATGTAAAATAAATATATTTCTCATTGGCTTTATGCAGAGTTATAGGGAATAGTATTCAGTGTGGGTAGGGTGATAGAAACAAAAACAATTTCAGAGGATGGGATGGGGAAGAAAACAAAGGTATCTGATAGGAAGTCCAGATTCCAAAGGGTAAAGTGATCCGTGCATGTTTTTTTTTTTTTAATATTTTTGCATATATTTACCATTTTATTGTGTGTATATATAGAAGACCATATAGGAAACTGATATTTGTAATAGTGGATTTGTTAATACTTTTTACATAACATTACTGTTTAAATTGTAAACAGATTTTTTCTCAGGATTAGTTTGAAAAATAATCTGAATTGTCATCTTAACATCCATATATAGGGAAGTGATTAGTTCTATTACTCCATTTGTTTTTCTCAGCATTGAAATGACTTAATAGAACCGTTGTGTCCTGCTGCAAAAATTTTTCCTCTCTAAAGAAAAGGTTTATGGTGGCAAATGACATTTATTTTATTTTGTAAAAAAAAAAAAAAAGAATATGTACTGTGTACTTTTGTGTAAACACTGAAAAATCTCTAGTCATCTCTGATAATTAACTTGCAACTGTTTTCTATAGTGCTGTCGTCTTGGGCAATGGGCAATTACATGATTTTGTGTTTGTTCCTTTGCAGTCTTTTTTTTTCCACCCGTCTTCCTAATAGAAAAAAAAAGGCCACCTACGTCTGGTCTCATTCCTGTTGCAGTGCAATCTCGAGCTCCACAGACTTTGCATGCTCGCTCCTCTAACCCTGTATGCTGCGTGTGCTTGTGTTTCTCATCTTATTCTTTTAAAAACCCATGCTTAACTACTGTGGGAGAGGATAACTGTAAACAGCTTTAATTAAATCATACTTACAAAAAACTATTTTCTTATACTCCACTTTATGCTTTTGGTATTGTTGATCTTTAAAAATTAAATGGTCTTTGATAATGGGTCTATTTTGTATTGCCTCATTAAGACCAGATGCTCCTTGTCATCCCATCCTTTATCCTCTCCTGTCGTGGAATTGTTATCTTTAATTAAAACTTTTTAAACATTGGCTTGTTTCAATCATACTGTAAATTTTGGTTGTGGTCAGCTTTGAGTGCAAATGAGATGTATAATTCTGTTATTCATTACCTGTTGAGTTTGACACTCAGTTGGGAATATTTAATATAATAGAATGTACGTGGCGTTTCTGAAAGTGCTTTCTTTCAAGGTGAAAGCTCTTATGTTTAGCATCAGTGTGTGTGGCTCTGTTAAATGCAGCCATTTATGAGATGAGATTCTTTTTTTATACATACATATAAAGTACTATTGGCTTTTAGGGATTTCTTTTATATACATTTATGAAATATTGGAGACCAATCAGACCGTTAAGTGAAACTTTTTATAAAGAAAATAATGCTAACGTAAGACCAAAACTGATGTCATCACTGCGGTTAAAAATTTTCAATATGTTCATATTTTAATTCACAACGGAAAAATATGTTCCAAAACTGGAAACTCATAGTACTTGTGTAAACCATGAAACTTTTTATAAAGAAAATAATGCTAACGTAAGACCAAAACTGATGTCATCACTGCGGTTAAAAATTTTCAATATGTTCGTATTTTAATTCACAACGGAAAAATATGTTCCAAAACTGGAAACTCATAGTACTTGTGTAAACCATGGAAGATTTTAAATGTGATGTTATTTTGACAATGTTTTAAATTTTAGAGTCACATTTTATTCTGATCAGAATTTTTATCAAGATGTTGAGCTTTTGTTCTTGAAACTAGTTTGTCTTAACATATTGTGCATAATCACAGTATTTATTTTCTAGGACTATTGTGAATGTGTAGACTTATGTTTACTGCTAAGGGAACAATTATTTATGAAATAATATTAAATTCAGTATTAGCTGCCTATTTCAGACACTTAATACTTGCAGAGATCCATGTTACATTTACCACACTGAATTTTTTTTTTTAAAGAATCACCCTCATTGTTGAAAGTAAATGTATTCTTAGGGTGCGAATATTAGTGTTCCAATAAGCATGTGATTATATTAAGGTGGTGGTAGCGGGAAGATAATCTTGATTCCATTGGGAATCTTAGGTTTTCGTAAATTTATTGGGAAAATAGTTTTTCCTGTACTGCTGAAGTTTCTTTTTGGTAAACAGTATCTTTCTAAAAATAAGCATGGAGGAGAAATCGAGGTGTGTATACATTTCCTCAGGTGACCAGCATTGTATTCGTGAATACTGTGTATCTTGCAGTGAACAGTGTGGAAGCTGTTCATTTTTCAATCTGAAGTAAAATACTTTCAAGAACTTTTAGTTTGCCTGTTCATTTGTTTTATACATTTCATCTCTGTATTTGACTCCTGTCTTATTTCTTTTTTGAGTTTTAATACTTTCTATAAAGACTTGTGAATAGATCAGAAATGTGTCATTTAAATATTACAGTCCATTCATATCCATGAATCATAACTTTCCTTTGCTAGAACATGTAGAACGGGGCTTTGCAAATTTGCCTCACTGTGGTGACATTTCTGTGGTAGTCCTGTACGTGTACCTGGTCATAAGAAACATTCAAAAACTGGTTTTTAGAGGTGCTGATGGGTCACCCGAGGTGTCAGCACAAAACCCGAGTGGTTATGTTTTGATGATAAAGGTAAATCCATTTTTTTCTTCCAGTTTTAAGGTGTCCAATGAAGGTGCCTGGTTTTTAGTGTCTTTGTTTTGTTTGGAGATGTTGCACTTGGTTTTCAAGTCTAGCTTTGATCTAGAAGATCTGTGCTTTTTACATGTAGTTGCCCTCCAATCAACAGTTGATCACGTTACATTTTTGTTTTATTTTGAGTGTATTTTACCTTTACTTGCATTTTAAGCCTCTAATTCATATTTAGGTCATTCGATTTGGCTCCAGATATTCCTAATGTCTTCACAGGGCAAAACTTGAGTGATAGGGAGAGCATTTTTCATAGTGTTTTTCCTCTGGAACCTCGTATGTCCATGTATTTTCTTCTTATTCCCTCCCCCATGAAATGGTAAATGTGGGTTGTGTTTGCCTTAACCTATGGACTAATGGGGTTTCGGGAAACACAGGAGGGTGAGAAGAGAGTATGATCACTATGAATGCAGACCCTACTGCTGTGACGTGTTCATTGCGAACACCTCCCCCGTGGCTAGGAGATACGATTATCAAGATTATTCCGTAGAAATCTTTAGAAATCACCATTATCAGTTATTACCGATAAGTGTTACTGATATGTTTATTGGTCATGACTACATCTCAATTTTATTTTAATATTGATACGTAGTTTGAAACTGATCAGTTTTTTCAATTCTAACATGTTGATTTCTTAGTGTTTCAGTCACTAACCAAGAATGTTTCTAGGCAATTGCTTCACAATTATCTTTTCAAAAATTATATGGTAAATTATAAAAAAGATATTCCCAATTTTGCTGTGATAAATATTGACATGTTAAATTAATGATCAGAAGAATTTATTCTTGCTCATCTATTCTTACTCTCCTCGCTCATCAACCTGTTTGAATTTGTGGAAAGCAATATTCTCAGAAAGTGTTTTGTGAGCAAAATATTCTATAAATGGCTCTATTAAACCTGAGTAGAAAATTTATATTTAATAATCTTTATAGTAATTTTCATCAGAGTCGTGATTCATCTAGAAAAATGTTTAGAGGATGATGTAGCATCAAAGCGGGAACGATTCGTATGAGCAATTCCTTGAAATTGTTGTCTCAATCTTGCCTCAGCTTCTGAACCTCAAGACTCTAGCTACCGCCATTTTGTCAAAACATTTATGGGTGGAATAAACGTTAAAGAACAAATTTTAATAAGTTCCTTGATATTCAAGCCAGATTTTACTGTGAAAGTTATTTATGTGACACGAAAACTTGACTTTTAACGAGAAGCTTTTTTCTCGACCACCTTCTTGTGAGCTGTCTTAACACCTTAGACAATTTTTATGTTGGTCAAAAATAATGAGCTAAATATATGTAGAAATTGAATGTTGACAAGCTTATTGACCAGAAAAGTTGCCTATAAAGTCTGCTGATCTGTTTGATATTCAGAACTTAATACTTATTTAAGGACAGTTTTTAGTTAATAAACTGCTGCTGTTTGTTTTACTCCATCTCAGGTGTTTTCTTAATGTATTTGGCCTTTACATTTTCTACTTAAGTGTGTGCTTTATTGAGGTCAACCTAGTTCATAGTCTAGTAGCCTGAAAGAGATAACACTATGTAGGAGGTTGAACCACAGAGAGGGAGATAGATGGTTCATCTCCTTTGGTTATTATAAACTTGCACCATCTCCTGGATTTACTCAGAGACATTTTAGCTATGTCAGTAAGAACAGATAATTTGGAAATCAGGTGTTCTCATGTATTTCGGTGAAAGTTTTTAATAGTGTTGCACATCATCCCTGTGTCTGCATTTTAACTTAAGTCATTGTGGTTCCACGCCCTGGGCTGCCTTTCACTGCACCGGCTTCTCCGTGGCCTGGGAACAGGGCAGGTTTCCGCTAAGGACAGTCCGGATGAATTCTGGGGGAGTGTTGTTTTTTTATCTGAAAGGTGCTGTAGAAACAAAATGTATGTAGCGCCAGCGAGAGATTATGAAGTAAAAGCTGGTCATTCATTACCTGTAGGGTGGGGTGGGGTGGAGAGGGTAAGGAGGCCTCGGAGAAGCATTCTCTAAAGCCAGAAACTTGGCAGAGTTGATAACTTGCCTCTTAGAGGTTCGTCGGCCCATACCTTTTAAAAGAGAGACGATGAGTTACCAGCCACGTTCTTTGAGTTAACATTTATCTTCACCTTTCGATTGGGTTCTGTGTTATTCATAACTGTTCCCTGAGATCATTTCATTATTACCTTTTATATTTGCAATTTATCATAATATGTCACTTTGTCCCTAGATTTAATCTGTTTTTTAAGATTCCCCTCTTATGGTTTCATATGTTAAAATTTTCAGAAGTCACTTTTTAAAAAAAAGCTTTTGAAAGTCCTATAATTCTAAAATAAACCAAGGTTTGCTTGTTTGTTGTGTTAGTCTTCACACTTACTGACTTCTAAAAACCACTGTCTTAATGCATGTTGTTAAAGGCGAAAAGAGGCAGCAGCCGGTATAGTTTCTGGATATAAAATGTGAAGGGCTATTGGGATAAACATTTTTTAGTGGAATATACATAGATACATGTGTGTAGAAAGTTTGGTGAAGCCAGTGTTTGTTTTTAATAACCTTGTTATTTATTTCCTTCTTTGATTAGCATTGCCTTCTGTGTTAAGAAATGCGGACTCCTGTGAGGTGCTGGAGGTTTGACTCATCTTGAAAGCTTTCCAGTCTTGTCTAGTTACCGCTGCAGAGGCACTAAGGAATTTCCCAGAAAAGAGATTTGGTACAAATGATTTATGAAATCTTGACTTTTCCTGAGGTCATATCACTGGGCACCAGTTATGAGAACTATGAATGAATTGCACACCTGGAAGCTTTTTGTTTTTTTTTTTAAGCTACCGACAATCTCTTCAAAGATGTCAATTGTTTGCCTTGAAAATTTTATAAATTGCATTTCTACTCACATCTGTTCCCGGGTGCTTACCATTGGGTTTATTATTCATAATCTGCAATTCAATAAAGGCTTTGTGCTTTCATTTATCTTCGAAACCTCTG